TTCGTGTTAGTATTATGATTATCCTTCTCCTCCTCCATCTCCTTGTCCCCCTCCCCCTCCTCCTCGTCCTCGTCCTCCTCCCCCCTCCTCCTCCTCCTCCTCGTCCTTCTCCTCCTCTTCCTCCTCGTCCTTCTCCTCCTCTTCTTCCTCCCCCCCCCCCATCCTCCCCATTCTCCTCCTCATCCTCCTCCTCCTCCTCCTCCTCGTCCTCCTCCCCCTCCTCCTCCCCCTCCTCCTCCTCCTCCTCCTCCTCCTTTTCCGCCCCCTCTTCCTCGTGCTCCCCCCGGCGCCTTCGCTCCCAGCTTCCCAGGACTTCGCGGCCATCGGCCCAGATTGCGGCGCGCGTTGGCGGCGGCGTCCAGCTCTGTTCGCCCCTCCGCTCCGCCGCGAGGCGCCCCTGGCTGACGGCGGCGCGCCGGCCCCTGGCAGGCTGCTCAGAGGCCATCGGGGGCCACGGGAACGGGGGGAGCAGGGCGAGCGCTGCGGAGGAGCAAGGTCCGCCGCAAACAAATGTATTCAGGCACCCTCCGACGGACTGCTCCTGGGCCTCAGGGCAGGGCGGCGGTGTAGAAGTCACCGCTGAGGCCCAGCGACACTACGCGACGCCATCCTCCCTGAAGGTACATGCAAAGCTCGTCGGAGGGGTGTCTGTGCATGTACTTTCGTGGCGTAGAAGAGCGGGTGGAAAGCGCTGGACGGGGAGGCGGGGTGGAGCGGGGGCTCGGGGGAGGCAGACCGAGCGGTCGGCAGGGCAGGGAGGCGGCAGGTCGGGCTGAGCACCGGACGGAGAGATCGGCGTAGGGGGCCTGGGGGTCAATCGCATAGTCCGCTCTGTGCTGCCCTACACCTTAGGCGATGCTTAAGAAAACCCAAGTTTTCGTCCAGAGTCTCGATTATTCTTAACGTTTCAATGTAAATCTTAAGATTTTAATGGAAATGTTGGGTTTTTTATTCAAGTTCTGAGACAATGAATTTCTTAGCCCATGATTTCTTAAGCATTTCGCACGGCGTAGGGGGCCTGGGGGTCAATCGCATAGTCCGCTCTGTGCTGCCCTACGGGAGGTCCGCGTCGCGTCGACCATCGGCGACTCCGCCTCCGGCGTCTATCTGGAGATCGGAAAGCAGCCGATCGTTCAAGCTTGAACGATCCACTCGATGTTGGAAACCATCGCCAGGGTCGTCGCGATAGGAGAATGCCGTAGGCGACGGCTAACGTGATGTTATGAGATGTTATGTGACACTGTGTCATTATATGATATGTTATATCAAGGTGTGTTATGGCATGTTCGGCCATGCTGTGTCATGTTGTGTTATGTTGCCTTCTGGTCTGTCATGTTCTAGTATGGTAGTTTATGTGATGTTATGTGATGTTTGATGTTGTGACGACAATGCTACGGTATGTTATGCCATGGTATGACATGCTTGTGGTTTGTAATGTTGCGTCATGATGTGTATGGTCGTGTGCGTCGTCGCTATGCCTGGCTGTCGTGTTATGAGATGTTTTGTGAGTCGGTGCCATGATATGATATGGTATGTCAAGGTGTGCTATGTTAGGCCAACCATGCTCTGATGTGGTATGCCATGTGATGTTTGTTTGTGATAAATTCTCAGATCTGTATGATATGTTATGGTCTGGTTTGCTAGAATGTGTCGTTCTGCTATGGTGCCGTGTTATGATATGTTATGTTGTGATAAGGCATGATATGAGATGTTATGCCATGGTGTGTTATGCTATGATCGGTTACGTTATGTTATATTGTGTTACATCGTACTATGGCATACAATGGTATGCTATGGTATGTTGTGTGATGGTTTGTGATGCTCTATTGTGTCATGGTATGACTGATGTTCTGCTATGTTATGTCATGCTATTGTTATGTTATGTCAGGTTAGTTCGTTGCATGTTGTGTTATGTCGTGATCGTCGTCGCTCTGCTCTGCTGTAATGGTATCATATGTCATGTGACGATGTGCCATGATATGATATGGTATGCCAATGTGTATGTGATGCTCGGTTATGTTATATTACGTATGTTGTGTTCTGTCGTGTTCGTCGAGGGCGTGAGGCGGGATCATCGGGCCAGCTTGAAGTCTGGCGGCAGCGGTGTGCAGGGCGGGGGATTGATTGTCCAGGCGCGAGGCGGGACACCCGGGACACGCGGGACAACTTGGGGTCTGGCGGCCGCGGTATGCAGGGTGGGGTTGGCCGGGCGCGGGGCGGGACGCCTTGGATACTCGGGATTCTCGGGACAATTTGGGGTCTGGCGGCCGCGGTATGCAGGGTGGGGTTGGCCAGGGGGGCCTGTTGAAGTCTACCAACCCCCCAACCTGTCGGGTGTGGAGAAAAGAGATGCGACAGAGGAAAGTGGGACAGGGAGAGGGGGAGGGAGGAGGAGGGAGGTGAAGGGAGCAGGGAGGAGGGAGGGGATGGAGGAGGGAGGAGGGAGGACGGACTGATGCGTAAAAGCTCCAGCACGGAACAGCTCAGCGTTTTCACAGACCAGTGTTCCCAGAGTCTTTCCAGCCCCTGGCCACTGTGCTCCATCTGGTCTGAGCCAGTTGATCCAGCCATGGCCACGCCCACTTCAAGGAATTCCAAACCTCCATGCTTGCCTGCCTCTCTGCAGTTTGCCTGCCAGGCTGGGCTGCCCCGACCCACCGACCGCCCATCTGGGCAATCAGCTCCGCCCTGATCGTTCTTCCAGTCGCAAGCCTCGCGGGGGGGTAGGGGGGGACACTCGGCGGTGCGCCGATGGGGGAAGTGAGAAGCTTCTGAGAAGCCGCCTCTGTCTTCGGAGAAGGCTCAGGAAGCTTCTCAGAAGGCCGGAGGCCTTCTGAGCTCTCCGAGAAGGCCCGCGCTCCCTCTGCCCTCCCGGGCTTCCCAGAAACACCATGAGGCTTTGGAGGAGGCCTGGCAAGCTTCTCGGAAGGGCGGGCTTTCTGAGCCTTCTGAGAAGGCCCGCACTCCTTGCCTCCCTCCCTGGGCGCGCCTCTGGGAAACGCGCAGACGCCAGGCGCGACGCAGCCGATCGTGACCGACGGTCTGGAGGTTCCGTCCACGGCCCTCCGCCGCGGCACAGGCCTTCGCGACGCGCGCCGCTGCCGCGCTCTCCCCGCCCAACCGATCCACTGCTTGATGAAGCTCATCCTCCTCCTCTCTTTCCATTCCTTCTCCGTATGAATAATTTTTCCCTGTCGCACCCCGAGGCCAGTATTTAGGCTGGGCCGGGCGTTTCGCCTGAGATTCCTTCACCACGTATGATTCTGAAGCTTTGAAATGGTAAGAATCTCATGGATTGGGGGCGGTTGGTTTTCGAAATGTGGCGCTAGCCTTGGCGCCGCGCACGTTCGTTTTAGAAAGCTTCATGGATTGAGGGCGGGTCGCTTTCAAAATGTGGCTCTCGTCTTAGCGCCGCGCGCATTCGCTTTAAACATTTGCAAGGGTTTCATGCATTGAGGGCGGTTCGTTTTCAAAATGTGGCTCTCACCTTAGTGCCGCGCACATTCTTTTTTTACAAATAAACATGTGCAAGAGTTTCACGGATTGAAGGCGGGTGGTTTTCAAAATGCGGCTTTCGTTTTAGCGCCGTGCACAGTCGTTTTAAAATGTGCTAGAGTTTCACGGGTTGAAGGCGGGTTTTCAACATGTGGATCTCGCTTCAGCGCCGCGCACATTCGTTTTTTACAACTGCAAGAGTTTCACGGATTGAGGGCGGCTCGTTTTCAAAATGTGGTTCTCGCTTTAGCGCCGCGCACACATCCTAAACATTTGCAAGATTTTCACGGGATCCCATGATCAGCGTACCAGAGATGGCGTTTTGGAAGGATGCAGGGTCACGCGGGTGCAACAGTTATGATGATCCGCGGTGTTGAAGTCCCCCAAATGGCGTTTTCACCGGATTCCAGATCGCCAGGACGCAGTAGTCAGGTTGATCCGTGGCATGGAATCCCGAGAACAACGCTTTGGCAGTATTCAAGGTCTTCAAACGGGTGTCTTGCAACGAGGCAGTTCCTTCAATGGAAATGAGCCGTTGTAGGAGCCTATGAAGAGGGAGCTTGGAGGGACGGTTGATTCTATCGTTGGGCTTACACTGGTCCTCCTCCTCCTCCTCGTCCACTCCTTTGACTCCTGCATAACTCCTCCCTGTCTCACGTCGCACCCACAGACGTGGGGTGTTTCGCTTGATACCGCCCCACCATCTATGATCCTGAAGCTTGAAGTTTGCAACAACTTCAAGGACGTGGGGCGGGAGGCTTTCAAAATGTGGGTCTCGCCTGAGAGTCACGCACATTCGTTTCAAAAGCTTGCAACAGCTTCCAGGATGGAGGAAGATGGTTTTCAAGATGTGGCTCTCGCCCCGCCGCACACATTGGCTTCAAAGCTTGCAGTAGCTTTGACGATGGAGGCGGGTGGTTTTCAAAATGTGGCTCTCGCCCTATATCCGCACACGTTGGCTTCACAGCTTGGAGCAGTTTCAAGGGTGACAGGCGGTTCCTTTTCAATGAGTGGTTCTCGCCGTAGTGCTGCGCGCATTGCTGCGCGCATTGCTTCTAAATGCCACAACAAATTCAAGTATTCATAAGGTTGCAGTCCAGGACTGGTATTCTGGTGCGACTTGGGAATGTCAGGGCAAACCAATCACGTTGATTCGTGGTGTTAAAGTCCCAGTAGTGTTCAGTCCCGATTTAGGATTGTCAGGACGCAGCAGTCACGTTGAGTCGCGGCGTTGAAGTCCTGGGAATGGTGCTCTGGCGCGGTTGAATATTTTCAGACGGATGTATCGACTCTTGGGGGGCTTTTGGGAGCCTCTTGGGGCGGGAGGGGGAGGCAGTCGCTTGCGGCTCCCCCCCCGGAGGCCACGATCCTCGTGAGGGGTGTCGAAAAATGGCCCTCCCCTGTGGCGTTTTGGGGTGATCGCCCGGGAGTGGACCGGGACCTTGGCCGGGGTATTTTCGTCCGAGGGCCCCAGGGGTCGCTCCGCGCGTGCGAACTAGAAATAT